CCCCGCCCCCCCCCCCCCCTGCAGGAGCTGCTCGCTCTGCCACTCTCCTCTGTGAGCCGAGTTTGGCGGAGAATGTTGGGGCTTCCTTTACACCACAGCCCCGCCTACATGCCCTCCGCGCAGGAAACCAGAACTGGTGCTGCAGCCTCGCAGCTGCACAGACACCCCACTGTGGGAGCAGTGGGGGCTGAGCTCCCTCCCCCTCCCCACCCCACTGAAGGCAGGAGCTGCTCGCTCTGCCACTCTCCTCTGTGAGCCGAGTTTGGCGGAGAATGTTGGGGCTTCCTTTACACCACAGCCCCGCCTACATGCCCTCCGCGCAGGAAACCAGAACTGGTGCTGCAGCCTCGCAGCTGCACAGACACCCCACTGTGGGAGCAGTGGGGGCTGAGCTCCCTCCCCCTCCCCACCCCACTGAAGGAATAGCAGCGCAGTGATGCGTGAGGCTTTCCCCATTGCAAGGGCGTGAAGCCAGGTAAGCATCCCCCCTCATGCCCAGACGCCCATACCTCAATCCCCCTCACTCACTCTCCTCCCACAAGAAGATCCCACACCTTCAACATGCTCCAACACCCTCCTTTGCTCCTGCACCCTCCCTCCTGGTCAGACACTCCCTTCTAGCAAGACACCCTACCTCATCCTGCTCCTGCAGTCTCCCTCCTGGCCACACACGGCACCTCCCTTGCTCTTGCTCCCTCCACTTGGCCAGAAACCCTAGTCCCAGCCTGCTCCTGCACCCCACCTCCCACCCAGACCTCACAACCTCTCCCCCTTCTGCAGCCCATGTCCAGCCAAATCCTGCACTCCATCCCTATCCCACTCGCTGGCAGCCCTATCCCACACACTGAACTCCTCATTTTTGTCCCCACCCCAGAGCCTAAAGGGGCCCATAAAATGCACTAGCTCCAGAACCCCAGAAAAGTAAATTTGTCCTATGGGAAGCCCTGAACCTCAGTCCTCCCTGTCCTTTCCCCCCACCCCGTGGGGGCTGGAGTGTCAGAGGAGTGAGGTGTCTCAGTTGGGAGCCACACCAGTGATGGTTGGAGGTTTTGGGAGGAGGGTTTTTTTTTTTTTTTTTTTTGCTTCTCACTTGTGTGGGCCCCAACTGAATTTTCTGTGTGGCAATGGCCCTGACCCAAAAAAGGTTCCCCACCGCTGTCATAAATAAAGAAAACATTACAACCTTTCATGTTGGACATCGTAAATTAGTATTTTACTTTATTTAAATAAAGTTAGATAAACTGGCTAGGTGTAGTTAACCCCTTAGTCCCCAGGCTGCTGGCTAACCCTCATAATCATGACGGGGCAATTAAAAAACCTTTCACGTGTTGTCCAGATGACTTCAGATGACTAGCATCATTTTATGCTGCTTTTTATTCTTGTTAAACATGATGCATCAACACAGCTGAGACGGTGTGAGCTGGATTCTTTTCCTTTATTCATTTGAACAGAATTGTTTATTAATTTCCAACCAGTTACTCCTCAGCAACGTCGTTGGTGACAGTGAAGCAGCTATCTTATAACCAACAAGATAGTGAATCCCTCTGTCATAAACAGTTCCACCATTCCATTGTCCTTGATTCACATAATCAGGGTAACAACACTTTTATCCCCCCCTGCCTCAATAACAGAGAGACTGGGGATCCCACAGTGGCCAAAGTGACCATTTGGGCTGCTGTGAGCACATACTAGGCAGGGTGGGTGTGTCTATGCAAATTGGGTGTATCTATGCAAATGAGATCAGCCCCTGAAGTCTCTTTGCACCACTCGCCACAGTTCACCACCAGATGTCAGGGTAGAGCTTATCTTGACCCTGCTTACACGCAAAAGGCTTCTTGCACAAAAACTCTGCAGTATAGACTAAGCCTTAGATTCTGTTCTACCTAACTCATTGTGCTGCCACAGTCAAGTTACTTATCTTCTTTGAGCCTTGGTTTCCCTATCTGTAACATGGGGATAATTAAGTGTTCCATTGTAAAACTCAGTGGGAACCACAGATTAAAGATGCTATGAAAGTACAAGGTACTGTTATCAGTTATTTTAAAGTGTCCTCTTCTACTTTGAACTGGCTGACAGATACCTTTGTTAGCCATGGATTGCCTCACCTCTGTCATTTCCTCTACAGAGAATGGCTCAGGAAGAGCCAAAAAGAACTCTGGTTTTCCATGGGAAAAGAACAACATGGATTTCTCCTGCTAATCTCCAGGAACTCCTAGAGCTGAAGGCCATGTACCCCAAAGCACCTCTCATTGTAGGGAACACCAGTGTGGGTATGGAGGGCCCGAGGGCCTCTCTCTTATTGTTTCTATGCAGTTGAAGTCTATAGAAGTTGCAAGTGATCAGCACCCTTAAAAATTAGGCCTTTCATGTCTCAAACTAGGCATCCAAAGGTAGGTACCGAAAATTAGAGACTGAATATTCAGATGTGGGAAACTTACTCAAGTTCACATGGCACATCAGTGACACAACTGGGACTAGGACTATGCCCCTTCCATTGATTGCTGTGAGCTGGCGTGAGAGGAGTAACAACCGTTGCCATAAATCAGAGTCTGCAGAATCATATGCACTATACTAGTGATAAAGAACATAGCACAAGGGAAGGCTGACAATAATACAGATAGAATTTTTCCTCAATAATACAGATAGATTTTATCTGTTTGTAATAATTTCAGGGAATATAGTCAAGGGGGGAGGAATAGCTCAGTGGTTTGAGCATTGGCCTGCTAAACCCAGGGTTGTGAGTTCAATCCTTGTGGAGGCCATTTGGGGCAAAAATTTGTCAGGGATGGTACTTGGTCCTGCTGTGAAGGCAGGGGGCTAGACTCAATGACCCTTCAAGGTCCCTTCCAGCTCTAGGAGATAGGCAATCTCCAGTAATTTAATTTAAGAGCAGCAGCTGTAGCAGAGATCAAGATAGGAAAAGTGATCCAGGGGAAACTTAAGGAGTGCTTAAGATAGAGTATTTTGTGTGTGTACAGATCAGAAGAGAGCATTTCAGAGGTGATACTGGGTTGGAATGTAGGGTCTGAACCCATTCCTTCCAAGGAGAAGCAGTATGAGTGGGTAGAATAAGAGCACATCTCAATAAAGGGCATTTCAGTGTGATACTGAGCTGTTATCTGTGAATTTGTTTACACTGTTAAAGCAAGGGCACTATTTATAGAAGGATGGAGGGCAGTAGGCACCCCCCTCCTGAGTTCGAGGTCTGCTTAAAGCTGCATACCCTGACTCCAGAGGCATTTCTCAAATGCAACAGAGTTTGAGCTGCTTGCTGCTTTGCCTTTGGGGCAGGGAGTTTGTTATAAAAAGAGGGAGGCAGGGGGGATTAAGAATAACAAACGGCTGGGCTTTCCAGCAATTGAAGGATGGTTAGATCATCATGAAAACATTGCTGGGTACTCCACTTAAAAGATAGGGGGAAGCGTAGGAATGATTGCTGTGATGCAGGGATCTGAATTTGGATGATTATGTTAAATTTACAAATGTTCTTGAAAATGGGTGAACAGGGATTTTATCCAAAGCTGACCACAAAGAGCTACAAAGGGATTTCACAAAACTGGGTCATTAGGCAACATAAAGGCAGATGGAATTCAGTGTTGATAAGTGCAGATAAGGCACATGAAAAATATATTCCTAACTATACATACAAAATAGCTGTTACAACGCAAGAAAGACAAAATACCAGATTGCCTCAGCATAAAGTCATCTTGAATTCTGTGTGCAGATCTGGTCACCCCATCTAAAAAAGATATATTGGATTTGGAAAAGGTACAAAAAGGGCAACAGAAATTATTAGAGACAAGGATCAGATTCCATATGAGGAGAGATTAACAAGACTAGACCTTTTCAGCATGGAAAAGAAATGACTAAAGGGCAGGGAAATATGTTAGATGTTTAGAAAATCATGACTGGTGTGGAAAAATAGAATAAGGAAATGCTATTTATTCCTTCACTAACATAACACAAGAAGCTCACCCAATTAGATTTCTAGGCAGCAGATTTAAAATAAACAAAATAAATGATTTTTTCACAATCAAGTTGTGGAACTCTTTGCCAGGAGATGGCGAAAAGGCGCAAACTCTAACAGGGCTCCAATAAGAACAAAATAAGTTCAAGGAGGATAGGTCCATCAGTGGCTGCTAGCCAGAATGGGCAGGGATGGTGGCCCTCGCTTCTGTTTGCCAGAAGCTGGGAATGGGCGACAGGGGATGGATCGTGGTAATTGCCTCTTTTGTTTATTCCATCTTTGAAGCACCTGGCATTGGCCACTGTTGGAAGACAGGGTACTACGATAGAAAGACATTTGGTGTGACCCAGTATGTCCAGTCTGATGTTCTTATATAGAGCTGAAATGTATCTGCCCCCTTGCTGTAACCCACTAGACCCAACTCTCCTTCCAGAGCTGAGATAGATCCCAGGAGTACTGATCTCTCTCAACACAGAGTTAGTAACAAAGTAAGAATATACATTAAAATGTTACAACTAACCAGTGTCCCTTAAGTTTCAGAGGGGTAGCTGAGTTAGTCTGTAAATGGAAAAACTTTAAAAAACAACTAAAATGCTACTAAATTATCCATTGTTTTTTAAGTTTTTCCAGCATCCCTTAAGGGACTTGAGACAAGATGTCTGAATATGTTATGCTAGAGCTGAGTGGGTCTAATATTTCTCTAATTTTCTTTCTTGTACATAGGAGTTAGATATAGGGCTCCTGTCAACAAACTGCTAACTTGTAATAGAATCATAGGGTTAGAAGAGACCTCAGGAGGTCAACAAGTCCAACCCCCTTCCCAAAGCAGGACCACCCCCAATGAAATCATCCCAGCCAGACCTTTGTCAAACCAGGACTTATAAACCTCTAGGGATGGAGATTCCACCACCTCCCTAGGGAACCCATCCCAGTGCTTCACCACTGTCCTAGTAAAATAGTTTTTCCTAATATCCAAGCTTGTCCTCCCCTACTGCAACTTGAGCCCATTGCTCCTTGTTCTGTCATCTCTCACTACTGAGAACAGCCTCTCTCCAGCCTCTTTGGAACCCCCTTCAGGAAGCTGAAGGCTGCTATCAACTCCCCCCTCACTCTTCTCTTCTATAGATTAAATCAACCCAAAGCCCTCAGCCACTCCTCGTAAATCATTTGCTCCAGCCCCCTAATTATTTTGGTTTCACTGGACTTTCTCCAATGCGTCCACATTCTTTCTGTATTGGGAAGCCCCCCCCCCCAATAATAATCCTGATGTGGCCTCACCAGAGCCGAATAAAGGGGAATAATCACTTCTCTAAATCTGCTGGCAATGCTCCTATTAATGCAACCTAATATGCCGTTAGTCTTCTTGGCTACAAGGGCACACTGTTGACTCATCTCCAGCTTCTCATCCATTGTAATCCCAATGTATTTTATGCTGAACTGCTACAAGTCCCTCACCTGTAACAGTGTTTGGGATTCTTCCATCCGACATGCAGGACTCTGCACTTGTCCTTGTTGAAACTCATCAGATTTCTTTTGGCCCAATCCTCTAAACTGTCTAGGTCACTCTAGTCCCTATGTCTGCCCTCCAACATATCTCCCTCTCCACCTAGCTAAGTGTCATCTTCAAACTTGGTGAGGGTGCAATCCATCCCCTTATCCAGGCCATTAATAAAGATGTTGAACAAAACCAGCCCCGGTACCAGCCCTTGGGAAACTCCATTCGATACCTACTGCCAACTAGACATCGAGCCGTTTGATCACAGCAGCCTTCAACTTCCTGAAGGAAGGTTCCAAAGAGGCTGGAGAGAGGCCGTTCTCAGTAGTGATGGATGGCAGATCAAGGAGCAATGATCTCAAGTTTCAGTGTGGGGGAGGTCTAGGTTGGATATTAGGAAAAGCTATTTCCCTAGGAGAGTGGTGAAGCACTGGAATGGGTTCCCTAGGGAGGTGGTGGAATCTCCATCCCTAGAGGTTTTTAAGTCCAATCTTGACAAAGCCCTGGCTGGGATGGTTTAGTTGGGATTGGTCCTGCTTTGCGTAGGGGTTTGGGCTCAATGACCTCCTGAGATCTCTTGCAGCCCTAGGATTCTAATATTCTATGATCACTACCCGCTGAGCCCAATGATCTGGCCAGCTTTCTATCCACCTCACAGTCCATTTATCCAATCCATGTTCCCTTAACTTCCTGGCAAGAATATTGTGGGAGACAATATCAAAAGCCTTGCTAAAATCAAGGTATATCATATCCACTGCCTTCTCCTTGTCCACAGGGCCAGTTACCTTGTCATAGAAGGCAATCAGATTGGTCAGGCCAGAAAAAGTAGAGTTTTCCAGTACTTTGGTAGCCCCTGGATAAAGATGATACGGTGGGGGGGGGGGGCAGGGTTGATGGGGTTGGTTCCCCCCTTCCCCATTAGGTGCTTGGCTTGTACTGAGCATGCTGAGTAACACTGCTGAAGCTTCTGTCCTCAGTCCACCCCCTCATGCTTTCACTCTCTTCCCTACCCCCATTCCAGCATCACCAAAATCTGAAATGGCACCCCTGTGTTTTAGTGAAACTAAGTCCCAAAAATGTCAAGATCATTAATTTTCAGATCCCCACCCTGCTCATCAACAACAGACACTTTACTGTATTTTTATTTATTCCTATTGCACCTATAAAGGTAAGCACAGCATTTCACAAACAGCTAAAATGGCAGGTTATTGGGAGCTTGCAAAGTAGTTTAAATATCTGATCCAGTGCCTATCAAAGGCAAAGTCCATTGATTTCTGTGGGCATCAGTCACACCCTAAATGGCAGGGCAGCGCATAGAGGATAAGAGAGGAGGAGGTAAGCATATTACGATAGATGTGGTATGCACAGTTTGTTAGCTCCTTTTAAAAAATATATTGGGTTGGAGGTCAGTGATGGTTGTCGCAAGCATAGGAAATAATGTGGAAATAGAGGTGCTGGTGGGAGAAGGATACACATGAGTTAGGCAGCTGAGTTGATGGAGGACAAGATGGAAGCAGGAAGTAATGGGGGATGAGGGAAAGGGTGGGGACAGGGGTGTAATTCTGTAGGATTCTAAACCTGAGAGAAGAAATCTGACTGTGAAAAGGAAG